CTGCAGCTCGTGTAGCCGTGACAGACCCCCCTTGCAGAAAAGTTCAGCAAGGAAGCCTGGCGTGGAGGGGCCTGGGATGTCCGCCAAGCTCCGGGGCGCTGAGTCGGAGCCTCTGGAGCCCAGTGAGGCACCTGGCTTGGGAGCACAGTGGATGCGATGGAACACTCTGGAGGCGAGCTTGAGGGTCTGGGTCATGGTCTGGGTCAGGGAAGCGGCAAAGGAGAGCACTTCTCTCAGGCATCTTGCTTGCTTGCCTGAACCCCTATTTAACCTTTGGGTGAGATAGTGGCAACGCCCCCTCTGCAAGCTCCTCAGCCAATCCCCTCTCCTGAGTGGTCCAGCTAGGGATTAGCACCCAGGCACAGTAGGCGGGGCTGGGGTTCCCTGGCAGCTCTCTTGGGTCTCATGTTGCAATGACCTTCTTGGGAAGGGAGGTCTGCCTTGGTTTCCCCCTTCTGGGCTGGTGCCCTAGTCCAGCCGCCTAAAGATCTCTTCCTGGGAAAGTCTCTCTGGTGAGGTTTAGGATACGGAGGTACAGTCAGTCCCTAGTATTCCCACTTCCTCAGGGAGCCAGGCCCTCTTGGGACCATCCTCAGGAATTCCCCATCCTCAGCTCCTTCAGGAAGGGAAGAGGCACAGCTGTAGCTTTATATTCTTGGCTTATGGGGCTGCGCCTTTGCCGTAGGTAAGCAGAACTTTTTGGCACTACCACATCTTCCCCACCTCCTGTACCTGACACTGGGCAGATGGTGGGTGAGTTAATGGGTTAAAATGGCTCCAGGAGCCTTCATCTTTGTTCCTTGGGAAGAAGGGGGTGGTCTCTTAGGTCAACACACCCTGTCCTTCCAGCCATGGGAACCTAGGGCTTCAGGAGCAGAAACAAAGGAACCTTTTGCAAATCAGAAAAGTTCAGAGATTTCTCTGGGCTCTTGGATGGTTGTAAGGGCTACGTGAGTGCTCTGAATCTCCAGCTGACTCAGTCCTCTTTGTGGGGGGGGGGGATTTCTAGTCAGCAGCCCATTTTTGCTTTTAGCCTCAGAATCTTGCACAGTTTAGTTCTCTGCTCCTCACTCCCCCACCCTGCCCCCCCTGGGCTCTGTGCCAGTCAGTTAGCTCTGAAGTTCTGGAATCGAAGGTCAACATGAAAAAGGAGAGGGTCTCCACCACCCCGACGCAGGACTCTCCAGAGACAGTAACAATAAAGACAGCAGATTCCTCAGGTCAAGTCTCAGGCAGGGAGAGGATGGGGGATGGGAGAAGGCACGTGATACATGCTCTAGCCGTTCCTGAGAAACAGCAGCACAGGCATGTGCACACGTATACATGTTATCCCCAGGACTGCAAAGTAAACACAAGTGGACAGGCGATTTGAGTCTAGCAAGCAGTTTAGATGGAGAGTGGAGAATTGTATTCCTCACTCCAGCTGAGAAGGAGATCCCAGAAGGAGAAGGAAGTGCTAAGGAAGAGCAAGACCCCACACCCTTCCAAACATCCCTTCTGATCCAAGATCTTTTGACCTTCCCAGTTAGCTTCTTTTGCTTTCTGTTGGTGGTAGACGGGCAAGAAGATGAGAGGTCAGTTGTGAATCCCAGGCTTCTGGCCTGGGCAGTTCCCCAACTTCTTTGAAAGACTGTCGCCTCTCGGCCCTAGCAGTCTCAGCTGGGAAGGTCCTGGGGTCAAGCTAAGGCAAGGCAGGCCGTCAGTGGCCCAGGGGGGTGGGATTGGGGGCCACTGCCTGGAGGGTGGGATCCTGTATTCTTCGGAAGATGGCTGGGAAATTCTTGCCTCCGTTGCGTAAGACTTTCTTGCCCTCCTCGGTTGAGGTGCCCAGATGTCCCACAATGGGGTCTTCACTCTGAGAAAAGGAAGGGTCTGATAAGTCCTTGCCCACCTTTCAGATGGCCCCTGGCCCTGAGACTCCCATCCCATCCTCCTGGCACTGAGCTGGGTTCAAAGAATACAGAACCACTCTGGAAAAGGCTTCCATCTTCACAACTCCCCTCAGGCCCCCTACTTACCAGTTCCTCCAGGGGCACACGCTCAAACAGGGGGTGCCTTTCAAAATGGGTGCACATCCAGTCATGTAGCTCCAGCACATCAGTTATGGTGTATACCAGCCCCTGCAGAGGCAAAATCACCCGAGACGGGGGGCTGCATGCAGTTGAGCAGGGGGATGATGGGAGTGGTGGTGTGAGTCCTAAATGCACCCCCACTGAATTCTTAGTGGAAGGCCTCCAAATGGGCCACTCACCTCTCCCTCTCACTCCCGACTCACCCCAACTCTAAGCACGTAGGCATATTCTGCCAGCAGCGTGGGACTGATGATTCGCCACTTGTGCTTTGTCCGCTTGAAATGTGGGTCAGGGAAGAGGAAGAACATCTTTGTCAGCTGTGAGACAGACATGCATCGACAGGGTTGAGAGCCCGGCTTCAGTGCCCCACGTGCCTACCAGCCTAACCCACCGGGGCCCCTCCCCACCTGGCCCTTGCGGAAGAAGTTAGGAAGGTGTTTCATGGCATTGCTACGGAGACAGGCGATGTTCTGGAAGCCACCTCCAGGAGCTGCTCGAAGGGCCCGAATCCGGTCTTGTACATAGTCTGAGACTTTCACCCGGATCTCCAGACCTAGAATCAGTGTGTCTGGGAACAGCGGTGACAGTTCCACTGGACACAGAAACAGGAATGGAATCGTCAACCTCATACTTGCAGGAAGTGCAAAGGGGTCAAGAAAGGAAAGGAAGTGTCACTGTGCAACTCCCAAAATCAGGAATGGCAAATGTGGACGGAGAGATACCTAGATGGCTGGTTCTATGCTGGAGAAGGGGGTTAAGCTTAGGGTTAGGCTTAGATCCAAAGACTGTCACCTGGACTGGAAGTGGGAGGGCCTGCAGATACACGTATATTTGTAAGTGCTTCCGAGTTTTCAGTGTTTTCACACATCGTCTCAGTTAATCCTCCTAACGCTCTGTGGTAAATCGAGAAGATGAGGATACTGAGGTCAGAAACGGCCAAGGTCACAGAGCTAAGAAGAGGCAGAACTGGAACTTGAACCGAGCTTTTCTGCCCCCAACTACCATGTTTTTCCTCTCTCTGTCATGCTGTTACCTCTATGGGAAGATCTAAAAATAGAGAAGTGGCCTGGCACGCAGGATTGGGACAATACAGACAATACAAGAGGAATTTGAAAACATGAGAGTAGAGCAGAAACAATGAGTTTTGGTGAAGGAGGGGGAAGGAGAGGGAGAGTGGTGGAATCCCTCAGAAATACAGTTCAGGATCACTGGCTACAGTGACTAATCTCTGACGCTCGTGCTGACCAGCTCACTGACCCGGTACCTTGCAGGTGAAATGCCTCAAGTAGAGACTGAGACCAGGGGTGGGGCCAGACAAGACAACCCAAGTTCTAAGAGGCATTTGAGACAACACCCTCCCTTCTCCAGGACAAAGGCCACAGACTCAGAGTACAGAGAAAGTGGAGGCTCTCCACACTGATGTCACAGCGCTGGTGTCTGGTCCGAAGGGGAAAGGCCAACTATGGCCCCCAGCAAACCTGCTGAGGTAGCAGAACCTAGGCATTGCCTCTCTGTGCCCTAGAGGAAAGGCCAGAGTGTTACCTAACAGGCCACCATAGCCACAGCCTATGTCTGCAAACTCCACTTGGGCCTGAGCTCTCTTTTCTTTCTTATCCTTTGGGTCATCGTGGCTCTTATTTTGAGTCAGTGGAGCGAAGAACTCCGGGTATAGCTCAGACCAGTCCATCTCTTCAGGCTTCACAGGGCTATTGGAGAGAAGACATGAGGGACATGAGAAGGTTGGTCAAGCCATTGTGGAAGTGGTACTGCGTGTGAGTGGGCGGATGGGTAAGGGTGGGAGGTAAATGGGAAGAGCGATTCTCAAAAATTCTGTAACAGTGGGCCCTGTGGTCTCTAGGAGACACAGTGGAAACCACCCTTAACCGCAAGTGTGAATCACAGGCCCATCATGAGGCTCATGATTGCTGACCTGCCCATCTCCACTTCTAGGAGTCGATGTGACTCTGGTCAGGCAGCTCTCCTTTCTGGGTCACAAGTTCCCTTCCCCCAGAGATTGGCTACCTCTGTTTATGTGCTCTGTGGGAAGAGGATGGACTAAGGCGTGGGCGGGATTTGTGTGTATGTTTGTCTTTTTATTAAATCCGATCAACGAAACCGAAAGGTGGAAACGACATTCTGCCCGCAACACTCCAGTCTAAATTACTCTCCCTTCCCGGACTTGCACCGCTACCGAGACTTCGGGCAGAACGCCACGCCCCCTCCCAACCCTCCAACTCCGCCCTCCCCTAAATCTCCCCGACCCACCTCTAAAGCTGACGTCACCCAGCCGATCCTCCCCGGTCCGTCTGAGACCCTGCAGACCGTCCAGAACAACAGCCCTTTCGGACTGCTGCGAACGTTCTGCCCTCCTTTGCCTCCCCCTGCTCCCGTCCCCCCCTGCCCTGCTCACTCACTAGCGCAGCGTGTGGTCAGCCATGGGGTTGGAGTGAGCACGTTGCCGATAGTAGCGCTTCTGGGGCTGCGGGGCCTCAGCTCCTGCCGCGTCCCCAGTCTCGGCTCCCGCCATGATCCCCAGTCCCCGGTTTCTCTACTGAACCCACGTGAAGACCAAGGCCCAGGCGCACGATAATGACGCAATCAGGAGCGTTGAGAGCAGATCCCGCCTCTTAAAGACCCAAGAGTGTACTCCGCGGATCTGGACGGGGAGGGTGGGCGGCAGCCGGAGCGGTAGGGGGCCTTCGCGACGCGGGTCTCCAGCTGGACTGGCAAGGCCAGACCCGGCACCCTACCTCTTTCGTTAGCCCGCTTCTCCTTGGTCTGGGATACTATCCTAGTTGCAGGTACCTCTGCACCCCGCAGGTGAGAGGAGTCCCAGGACCCCGCTTCCTACAGAAAAATCCTCACTCCTCTCCCCTCACCCCCGGTCTCAGACCTGTCGGCCCTGTCTGCGCCGCGTGGTCCGACGTGAGCGCCGTCGGTGTGCGCTGGGGACCGGAGCGGGAGGGGCAGCTCCTCATCCCACCTCCAGGAAGTCAAACTGAAGGGAGGAGGGCAAACTCGGAGAGGCGGGGCTCGGTGCCACGGAGAAGCCGGGACGACCCGCGGCCCCCCCACCCCCACCCGGTCCCAGATCCGGGATACCAGCGCTAGCCGCGGGGTCTGCGCGCGCTCTCAGCCAGATGGCGGACCCCTGCCCAGATCGTGAATCAGAGCTCGAATCCGTGTTCCCGCGGGAAGTCGGGCTCTTCGCGGACTCTTACTCGGAGAAGAGCCGGTTCTGTTTCTGTGGGCACGTGCTGAGCATCACACAGAACTTCGGGTCCCGCCTTGGGGTGGCGGCGCGCGTGTGGGACGCGGTGAGGAGTGGGCGGCTCTGGGCGAGAGTCCCCGGGAGGTCCGGACCCCGGACTCTCCCTCTTCCATATGGAAACATCCCCGCGACAGTCTTTTTCTCTCTCTTCTCTCTTTTTCCCCCGTAGGCTCTGAGCCTGTGCAACTATTTTGAAAGTCAAAATGTGGATTTCCGAGACAAGAAAGTGATCGAACTAGGCGCAGGGACGGGCATCGTGGGGATCTTGGCCGCGCTGCAGGGTGCGTGAGTTTTGTGGCGGGAGTGGGGGGGGGGTGGCGCTGGGTGGTGGAGAAATTGTCACTCCCTGGATTCTTGGGAGAGGCGAGTGATTTGCGACCAGACCAGTCTCTTTTTAACAAAGTGTGTGTGTGTGTGTGTGTGTGTGCGCCTCTTTCTGTGTGCCAGAGAAGACACCCAGGGTGGTTGATTTGGGGGCAGGAAATAAAAACCGGGCAGGCCTTAGTAGGAGTTTTTTTCTACCCTTTTGCTCTTTGTGATTTCATGAATAATGCTGTCACGTAAAACCACCTTTGCTTTCGACATGGTATTTTGTCAAAATGCATCCCCTTTGGGGGCATTCTGTAGGGGGAGCAATCTGCATGTGTTAAACCTGAGAAATGCTTTATAACTTTATTATGAATAGATATTAGATTTTTAAGGTTTTGACTGCTTGGGAGAAATAAGGGTGAATTCTTGAGGGTTGTTTTTTGTGGGGCAAGTGGGGTAGGAATTAGGCACCACAGACTTGGGAAAGGAAAAAGTAAGGAAAATTTTGCTTCACTTTTGTCAAGGATCCAAAACTACAAAGGAAACAGTTCCTCAATTTATGATCTAATGGGCAGGCACAACCTCACATCCAAAACATTCATTTAAAACACTTATGATGTCATTTCCCTAGTAATGCCAATGTCTTTGTTCTTGGGAACACAACTAGGTCACATTCAGGGAAGTCTTCCCAGAGGCAGGCATTCATTCTTGTATTCATTCAGTCAATATCTATTTGGAGTCGTCTGTCATGCCAGGTATTGGGATACAACAGTGAGTGAGACAGCTCTCCTGTTCCCGAGGAGCTTATGGTCTAGTGGGGAAGGTGGGGGAATTATGCCTGTGTATGCACAGGGCAAGTGGACATGCTCTGGCTATGTCTCCCTTGACTCCCTGGGACTTCAAAGAGAAGCACTGTCAGATGAGAAGGTGAACAGTGCAAACATAGCAGGCTCACAAAGAACCAAGGGAGTGTTAAAAGAAATTTTCCACGAAGGAAGAGCAGAGGAGAGGTGTGCAGTTATGCTAAAATGGGAGAAAAGTGTGTAATATGGATGGGAACACGTATGTCCATTTGCTCAAAGACTGGCTTCTCCTCCTTTGCCCCCTATCCAGCTGCCAAGTAAGAAATCTGGCTGTCATCTTGTCCCTTGCCCTCTCCCGCTCACATCCCGGCAGTCAGTCAGATCTGTGGGTCATAGGTCTTTAATATTTCCCCAATTGTCTGCTCCTCTTCCTACCATCTCCAGTTCAGGCCACTGTTGTTTCTTCCTTAGGTTTTCACAAGTCTTCAAGCTTTCCCATGGGAAGGTGAGCATGCTGGAACTAGATCTTGTGTTCTTCCTGCATGCAGGCTGTTTCTCCTTCAGGCTTCCCCATCTCAGTGAATCAAACCATCATCCACCCAGTGGGAAACCTAGATATCACCTTTGACATGCCCCTTTTTCTCACCCCCATAGCCATTACTTGAGTCCTACTGATTTTATCTTCTAAAAATCTCTCGAATCTCACGTTTCTCCATCAACACTGGTGGCTCCCCAGTCCATGCCACCACAGTCACTTGCCTGCACTGCTGCATTTAGGCCAACTTGTCTTCCTGCTTTACTCCTTGCCCCCACCTAGACCTCTGTCCACTCTACCCAGCAGAGTGATCTTTTCAAGATGCAGCTATAATCACCTCTCACTCCCATCTTTCAATGACTTCTTGTTCTTTCAAGACCAAACCAATACCTTTAGCATGGCCTCCAAGGTCCTGCCTCTCTCTCTGGCTTCTTTCTGTGCCTCTCCCTCCTTTCTTGTGCTCCTCGTGCTGTCTGTTACCCGTCTCTCAGGGCCTCAAGTCTGTCTTGATGTTCCCATCCGTGGAGCCTTCATACAGACTGTACTCTATGCCTGGAATCCTTGGACCACCTGGTTAATTCATATGCATCCTTCAGTGCTCAGCTCAAACATCACTTCCAAGGGAAGGCCTCTTTGATATCCCCACCTCCAGGTTAGTTTAGGCCCTCCTAGTATATATACAACCGTGCTGACTGGTTTCATTTTGAATTTGTCTTTACTAACCTTAGGCAAGTCCTTAACTGCTGCCCAGCTAGTCTATTACACTTCCGTTGTCCACGTATTCTTCCGCTCTCCCAAACATCTGTTTCTTATCTTCTTGCCCTTCGAACCTCTACATGCCTCCTCCCCTGTCTTCACCCTCAGCTGATGACTTTGTTGCCCATCTCTTCTGATTGCTTCTGTTTTCTTATAGAACATGTTCACATGTTCCTATCACAATGTCTACTCACCTAACTGCCTGTGTCTATTTTAAGTGTTGCCTTCTCTCCTGTTACCATGGATAAACACTCTGTGCTCGTAGCTAAGGTCAAGCCCTCCATTTGTCACAAGACCCTGAACCTTCTCATCTACTCAAAGACATTGTTCCAGCAAACCTCCTCCCCATCCCCAGTCCCTCCTGCATTAACAGTTTTTTCTTTTCTCTGGAACATTCTGAATAGATACACATACCCCTATATACATCTATAAATATGCTATATTTTCTCTTAGAAAAAACTGTTGTCCTACATATTCTTTCAGTTACCACCCCATTTCTCTGTTTTGCTTTACACCAAAACTCAAAAGAGTTAATCCTCTTCATCTGTAGTACCTGTCTTACTCTTCTTTCCTCAGTCCATTCCACATTCCCGCCCCCAGTTGCAGCAGTCAAGGTGGTGAGCTTCATTTCCAACTCCATGTTGGTAAGTACAGGAGTCGGTGATGAGCCCACTTGACTTGACTTTGCAGCATTTGACTCTCCCTCCTCCTTGACGTGCTTCCTTTCATTTCCAGGGTACCACACTTCTGCTTTCTGCTCACCTCACTGGCACTCTTTTCCAGTCTCCTTTGTTGGTTCCTTTTCCTCTTGACAACTGTAAGTTTGCGTGCCCCAGAGCTCAGGAGTAGTCCTTTGACCCTTCCCTTTTCTGTCTACACTCCCCAGCAATCCCATCACCTCATGGCTTTAAATGCCCTTTCTGTGCTCATGACCCTATAACTCCCATTTCCATCTCCAGATTTGTTTGTGGAACGTCCTACCTACCCGATATCTTCATGTGATTATCTGATGGGCATCTCACTTAGACAGAAACTCATGATCTTCCTGTCCAGTCCTGCTCCTCCTACAGCCTTCTCCACCGAGTAAATAGCATTTCGGTCTTCTAGTTAGTCGGGTCAAACATCCTCTCTCTCTAGTATTGTGTGTCCAGTCTCTCAGCAAATCCTGTTGACTGTACCTTCAGAATCATTCAGGATCTGAGCACTTCTTAGATGTGGCTAATGCCCTGGTTCAAATGAGCATCACGTCTCACCTGGGTTACTGTAGCTGCCTCCTAACTGGTCTCTTTGCTTTTGACCTTGCCCCTCTGCTGTCCTTTCTCATCACAGCAGTCAGAGTGATCCTTTTATTCATTTGTTTATTTCAAAGATTTTTATTTGTTTATTTATTTTAGAGAGTGGGGGGAGGGGCAGAGGGAGAGGGAGAGAGAGCATCTCCAGCAGCCTCTGCTCCAGCCACTGGTCTTCCTGCTTTTTCTCAGACCTGCTGACACTCTCCTGCCTCAAGGTCTTTGCACTTGTTAGTCCCTTATTTGGTACATTTAGCCTGAGAGGTCCACATGGTTTGCTCCATCATTTCCTTCAGGTCTTTGCCCAAACATAATCTGTTGAGTGAGGCTTTTCCTAACCACTCAGTTTAAAATTACATTCCCTGCCCCATCTCTGAAGCAAAATTCTTACCCCCCTTCTCTGCTTAATGCTTCACCGTAGCATCTGATGTACAGTGTATTTTCTTTGATTTGTTTTGTTTGTTGCCCATTTTTTGCCACTAGACTGTAATCCCTATGAGGGGAGGGATTCTTATCTGGGTGGTTCACTGCTATATTCTCAGCACCTGGCATAGAGACACATAATAAATATTAATGAATGAATGAATTCTTAATACTTCCTGTGTCTGTAACAGTCGTCATGATCATGATTAGTTTTGCAGTACCTAGTGTGTCTCTACCTTTCTAATAAAACTCAAGGAAGGCTGAGGTTTTATCTTGCTCACCACTGTATCGCTTCTCGGCCTTTTGGCTAAGATCAAGTGTAGTATCTTGCTCACCACTGTGCTGCCAGAACTTAGTATGGGCTCAATACATATATTTCTTGCATGAATGGCGCTTTCTGAGGTGCTAATCTGATTATCTTCACTCTCTGCTTCTACCTATAAAACATACCACCCTCGGGATCAAGCCTGAGTCTCTTCAGCATGTCATCATTATCCTCAGGTCTTGATACTTTTCTCCTTCCTTCCACATCCCCTAAGGTTCAGCCTTCCTTGAATATGCATTGCTCTCGCCCCCAGGCCTTTGTACTTTTTGTTATCTGCTTGGAAAGCTCCACCTAACTAACTCCTACTTGTCCTTTAAGGCTCGCTGAGGCCATATCTTCTGGGAAGCTTTCCAGACCCATGAAGTTGGGTTTGGGTAAGTAGGGGCTGGATACATACATAGTCTGTCTCCAGCTTAGTCCTGCCCAGGCTTCTGCTGACATCTGACAGTTGTGTGTTGGGCAGAGAGGTTGAAGATTAGCTCCGAGACAACGTTGATGTTGTAGAACGTAGAGTAACGAGTAATGAGCATGGCAGGGGGTGAGATGGAGGTCAGGGTAACTAAAAGCCAAAGTGCACACTCCCGCGCTGTCAAAACACCGTCCTCTAGGCCCTGTGGTCTCTGGACCTTCTGGGTAGAAGCCGAGACTCCTTGGTTGGTCGGTCTGACTTGCATTTCTCCTCCTTCCTCTCTCTCAGGGGGGGATGTTACCATCACTGACCTGCCCCTGGCCCTAGAGCAGATCCAGGGCAACGTCCAGGCCAATGTGCCAGCTGGAGGCCAGGCCCAGGTCCGCGCCTTGTCCTGGGGGATTGACCAGCATGTCTTCCCTGGAGACTATGACCTGGTGCTGGGGGCTGATATCGTGTACCTGGAGCCCACCTTCCCACTGCTGCTGGGCACTCTCCAACACCTATGCGGGCCCCATGGCACCATCTATCTGGCCTCCAAGATGAGAGAGGAGCACGGGACAGAGAGCTTCTTTCAGCACCTCCTGCCCCAGCATTTCCAACTGGAGCTGGCCCAGCGGGATGAGGATGAGAATGTCAACATCTATAGGGCCAGGCACAGGGAACCAAGACCTGCTTGACATCACCCTTCTGCTCCTCTGAACCCCTTGTCCTATGAAAGGAACTGCTGTATCTCCAAAGCCATAAACAAGGGAAAGAAAAGTCTGGGTTTCCCTTGCCTCTCTCTTTCCTCCTTCCCTCTTTGTTGCCCCAGATACTCTTAGGCTGATGCAGGGAGGTGCCTGCTTGCTAGGAATCTTAGAGCCCTAAATAGCACTGGGTTAGAGCACAAAGGAAGTTCCCAGTTCCCATTCTCAGAGGACGAAACGAGGAAGGTGTCCAGGATTTTTAGGGGTGGGGGAGGCAAATGGGAGGTGAGATCATTGGCTGCAGAGAGACTGTTCCTGAACCCTTCCAGTCCTGCTGTTGTTTTTTTATACAGAATGGACTTTTTTTTTTCCTGCCAGATTCGAATGGAATTTTTTTTTAAAGGGAAAGAAGATCATCTCTGCATCCAATGAACTCATGCTTTTGCTGGGGGGCTAGGAAGGAAGAAACCTCAGACTACACACTTCTTGCTTCTGGAGACAGAGTCTGGTGGGACCATGGCTCTAACTGGGTCAAGTGCTGCCTGCCCTGATGCTGGGGATGGGCAGCAGAGCTGTCCTTTGGACTACAGCTTCTTCATCCTTTTTGGAGCTGGAACCGTGATCACTAAGTACTAGGTTCTTCTCATCTTTGAGTTTTCCTTAGGTTTCCAAGCCCTGTCCTTCCTTGCTAATGTGTTTTGTCTTCACCTCTTTTCTCTTCCCACTGCGCTACCTCTGCTTGGGGCTCTCTTTTACTCCTTGGGCCACATATCACCTCCTCTGGACTCCTGGCCTCCATTCTCTCCCTTTCAAGCCACTTATCAAACTCTTTTTGATCTTCCCAAATCACCTCTGATGAGCTTCTGATGCCTACAGCAAGAGTAAGCTCCTTGGCTTGGTACTCAGTCTATCCTGTGTGATCCCAAATTACCCTTCTATTTCATTTTCAACTGGTTTCCTACATGTATTGCAACCTCTGGACAAATTCCAAATGTCTACTCTTTGTTCCCTATTTCCACACCCAAATTCCTTGTTTTCTTCATTCTTTTTGGTGATTCCCTGCCTGGAAGGGCTATTTCTACCTGTCAAAATCTTTATTACTTTTCGCCTCTTTCCTGAAAAAAGCTTTTACGGAGCCTCCTGTTTGGTTGTGATTTCTTTCTCCCTGGAGACCCTTTCACTATTTGTTCATCTTATGGGACTTACCTTGTCTTGCGTGGTCACTTGTCTGTTCCCTATTTTCTCACCATTAGATTACCTTGGACGGTAGGCTGTGGTTTACTCTTCTCTAATTCCCTGGAGCCTAGCAGTTCCTGGCATACAGTAGATGTTCAGTAAATACTTTGCTCATTCAACAAATATTTAAAGGGTTTGTTGAAAGGACTCCACCCCTACTTCCTCAGGTGCCCTTGGCCAATTTTCTGAACCGCCCCCCACCTCACAAGTTTGTTATGAGTCCTAAATGGATGACTATGAAAGATGAACGGAAATAAAGAAACATAAAATGTTTGCACATGTCTCGAATTGTTATTTTGCGACAACTCTGTCTCATGGTTTCTGTTATTTTACCTACGGCGGGGGGTGGGGTGGGGTGGGGGGGTAATTCCCTTGTGAAATAGTCTCCGAAAGCGAAGTAGAAGCGGCGAGTGTGCCCACCCCGGCCAGCAGGTGGCGCCGTCCTCTCTTGGCGCGTTGCGGTGGAGAGGTTTGGCCCTGCCGCCGCGCCGTAGGCCTGTGGCCTCACTGGTGCGCCGGCCGGCTGCGGTGTACTCTGGGGCCAGAGAGATGTCGCTGCTGCGGTCGTTTCGCTTCTCCCTGGCCGCGTGGGCCGGCAGCTGCCCGGTGGGGGTTCTGGGTCTTCCCCCCGCCGTCCCGCCTTCCTTGCAGATCTGTGCACTCGGAACGCAGCCTTCCCTTCCTCCGTCCCCCGTTCGACGCCATCCCACCCTTCCCCCCATTTTCTCTGAGCGGTCCAACCTCCCCCCCCACCCCCCCGCCGTTGGCTGCCTTCTGCCACCCCCGGGGCCCCAGTGTCTCCTAGTGGCCTCCCTGCCGGCGTGCTCTCCACCCGCCGGAGCTCCTGGCTGCTTCCTGCTTCTCATCCCTTTCTTCTTACCTCTGCAGGCGGGACCCCTTCTGCTTCAGGCGCCTCAGCCGTGGCACACATTGCGCCCTGGGCCCCGGCTCTCTTCCTCGGCCTGCAGCAAGGAGCTTCTCATGAAGCTACGGCGAAAAACAGGCTATTCCTTTGTAAACTGCAAGAAAGCCCTGGAGACTTGTGGCGGGGATCTCAAACAGGTGTGGGGGAGGAGGACGAGGGGAGCAGGGCGGGGTACTAGGGCTCGACCTCAGTCTCTCAGGGAGGTGCCGCCGGGGCGCAGTAAATTAGACGTGCTGCGCAGGGACCCAGAACTGCAGAACTGCAGATAGGATTCTGATTTAGGTGACAACCTCACCTTTTGACTGTGTTTTGACTCCGGAAGCCGTTAACTCAGGATCCCATGGTTAACAAACTTTATTCCAAGCACGACTGCTATGCTGTTTCCTGCTGCTTGGAGCCCAAAGGGCTTGTGTGGGCTTTGGGAGTCAGACGGACCAGGACTCAGACTGTGGTGTCCTCACTCTAACCCTGCGATCTTGGATACCTTAATTTTTCAGAGTTGCATTGTTCTGGTCCGTATAATAAAAATGCTACTGTCTCCTCCATAGGGTGGTTGTGAAGATTAAATTTATCCAAAGCACCAGGCACAATGCCTGATATTTGGCATTCAGTGGTAGGCTGCCAGTAAACGATAGATTGCTTTAGTTTCCATTATAGGACTGAAGAGCAGAAAGAATTAGGGAACCTGAACATATTTTAGAGCTCCGTTCAGTTCTAAATTCTATGACTTTGTCATCTGCCCTATTTTTAATTTATAGGCAGAGAGCTGGCTCCACAAACAGGCCCAGAAGGAAGGCTGGAGCAGAGCTGCCAAACTCCATGGCAGGAAGACTAAAGAAGGTCTGATTGGGCTGCTTCAGGATGGAAACACAACTGTGTTAGTAGAGGTGAGTTGTCGGAATTCTAGATAACCAGGAACAGCAGCCCCTTGGGCGGAAAGCTTTGTGGTAGACCCTTTGCATCCTTCAAGAAGAGGTGTTTGAGAACCACAAAACGTTGTTAGAATTGAACCGGTGAGACCACAGTTATTGTAAATTCACTTATGTATAGAAATGCACAGGTCTGTTGACGATTAAATGTCTAGAAGTCAAAAAGATTACAGATATCCCCCACTTTTTGAAAGTTTGAGTTACACACTTTGCTTTTACAAAAGACCTACATTTGTACCTGTTTTTGTTTTTTGTTAACCGAAAGAAATTCAGAGAGCACTTTCACTTTTATGAAAAAAGGCAAAAAGTGAAAATAGCATTCAGTGTTGGTTTTGCACTGAGTCGTTATAGAGGCAGGGGGCACCCCAGCAGCAAGAGTTGCCCTGCCAAACTACCCCCCCCCCAAACTGCACTCAGCATCAAGCCGCCATAGCTTTGAATTTTGTGAGCATCTATGCTCTAGGTCGATTTATTTTGTGCATCCATGTCTATATGAATTAATGGTAATTGATTTTTCGCTTTATGCCATTTTGGCTTAAAAAGGTTTCATAGGAACACTCTACGTGCGGATAGTGGGGCAAACCTATACTTCTAAATGTGAGTCCTATAGCCTTATACCTTGCCACTGATTGTTTCCTGGAACAGTTAGATTTAAAAGCTAGGAGTTACATTAATTAGTTGATGGATAGCATGTAGCTGTTTTAGAGGAGGTTTAGGGGCCTCAACTGGTGAAGAATCAGGTGTGGATTAGTTTAGAGTGAGAAAAGGAGATAAGCATACTGACAGCAAAAGTGGTTTGGTGTTGGAGGAGGCTGGAGAATGAGGTGTTGATGGCCTGCAGCCACCTGCAAGTGGTGAACGTGTAGTGAGTCCTTTGGGGACATTATGGAACCATCTTTTGAACATGCGGGTCATTGCTAACTCATTGGCAGAGCAGGAATCACGGCATTCAGTTTCTGGCCTCAAGCTAGGAGAGGGACTGAAGCCTTAAAATTCTAGGGTCCTTTATTTCTGTTTTGTTGAGTCTGCAGCTTGTTCTGCAGTACGTTGGTTTACTCTCCAATTTTAAGGCACTTTTGCAAACTGTCCGTAAACAGCTTATACAACAACATCAATTTGTTCCCACCAGGTAAACTGTGAGACAGATTTTGTTTCCAGAAATTTAAAATTTCAACAGTTGGTCCAGCAAGTCGCCCTGGGGACCCTGTTGCATTGTCAGAACCTAAAGGATCAACTCTCCACATACAGTAAAGTGAGTTTTGGGATTGTCTGTCAATATGCTGGATTTACACACACACCCCTTTCTTAGGGTCTTTGCTGTTCCCTTTTTTTCAGACATTCTCATGTCTCACTCCTTTACTTCATGTCCCTTTGTAAATGTTATCTCTTTGTAGAGGAGTATTCTTCTTGTTGCTCTATCCCCTTATTTTGCTTCATTGAAAAATTTTTGTTATAATACTATATACTTACGTTTTTACTTATTTATATGTTGTTTGTCTTCCCCAATAGAATGTGAGTTTCATGAGGCAGAGAATTTGTCTTTTCACTACTGTGTCTCTGGTGAAAGAGGAGTGGGCCCAGCATTTGGTTGGGGCTCATAAAATCTGTTGAATGAATGAATGAATGCCAGTGGGGTAGAGTCTATCAAATCAGGTAAAGCTTTTCTTTCTTTTTTTTTTAAGGTTTTTTGAGGATACAGAGAGCATGAGCAGGGAGAGAGGCAGAGGGAGAGGGAGAAGCAGACTCCCCGCTGAGCTGGGAGCCTGATGGGGGACTCGATTCCAGGACCCTGGGATCATGACCTGAGTTGAAGGCAGACGCTTAGCTATCTGAGCCACCCAGGTGCCCCGTTTTTTTTTTTTTAAAAGACCTGTCCATTCTAGAGAGAGCGAGAGTGTGCGCCTGAGTTGGGGGGAGGGGCGAGGGAGAGGGAGAGAATCCCAAGCAGACTCCCTGCCAAGGGCGGAGCCCCATGCAGGGCTCCAGACTCCCCGGGGTGGGGGCCTCAATCCCTTGAAAAGACCTGAGCTGAAATCAAGAGCTGGAAACTTAACCGACTGAGCCACCTGGGCACCCCAATCAGGTGGAGCTTTGTATTCAGAAATCTAGAATGGCCTGAGGGAAGGATTTCTTTCTTTTCTTTTTTTTTTTTTTTAAGAAAAGGATTTGTAAATACAGATATTGGAGAAGGCACAGTTGAGGAGAATAAGCATATTCTTGTCCATAGGAGGACCAGGATGGAATTAATATCAGTCTGCCTTTGATTCATCCTTATTATCGAGGCAAAAACGAAACAACTACTCACAGTAGTTTTGTGTGTGTGTGTGTGTGTGTTTAGTACTACTTTTTTCTCCTATTTATCCTTCTTTGAGATCTTGTGGTAAATGTTAATTATTACTGGCGTTAAATAGTCATTATATGGAAAACCATGTGGAGACTATTTTTTAGAACTGTATTGAGTAGATGAACAACTTGAACTAGAAGTTCTAATCTTTTTCCTTCCTTCCTTGCTTCCTTTTTCTTTCCTCCCAACATGGGGCTCAAACTCACAACCCCAAGATTAAGTCGCATGCTCTACCAACTGAGCCTGTCAGGCACACCGAGAAGTTCTTTTTTTTTTTTTTTAATTTTAAATTTTAATTTAATTTAATTTTTTTATTATGTTCAATTAGCCAACATATAGACACCTAGAAGTTCTAATCTTGACTTTGCCAGTAACTCTATTTGTAACCCTGAGCCATTCACATACTTTACTCTGTCTATCTTTCATTATCTGTAACAAGAAATTTTGGTTCATTTTAGCTTCATTTATTTTTTTTCCTCTTTTGGTCTTTAATTTTTTTTAACTTTTATTTTGAAAAAAATTCAAACTTAAAGAAAAGTTGCCAGTGTTCTGCAGTAAGCTACATTGTACTTTCATCTAGATTCACCATTTGTTAACATTTTGACACACTTGCTTTATTACTTTTTATACATGTATTGTTATCACTATTTTATTTTATTTTACTTTATTTTTAAGTAACCTCTACACCCAACGTGGGGCTGGAACTCACAACCCCAAGATCAAGAGTTGCATGCTCAACCAACTGAGCCAGCTAGGTGTCCCATCACTATTCAAAAAAAATTTTTGCAAGTATGTTGCAGACATCAGGACCCTTATTCCCTTGAATAGGTTATCTCCTAAAAATTACATTCTTCTATGTAACCAAAGTATAGTAATCACAATCAAGAATTTTAACACTGATACAATATTTTTATTTTTATAATATATGATATATATTCATATTTTGCCAGCTGCTACTTTTTCTTCTGATCCAGGATCCAGTCCAGTATCACGTGTTGCAATTAGTTGTCATGTTTGTTTAGTGTCCTTTCTTTCCCAGCCTTTCTTTCATTACATTGACCTTTTTTTTTTAAAGATTTTATTTTTATTTATTTATTTATTTTTAAAAGATTTTATTTATTTATTTGACAGAGGGAGAGAGCAAGAGAGCACAAGCAGGGGGAGCTGCACAGGGAGAGGGAGAAGCAGACTCCCCGCTGAGCAGGAAGTCTGATGTGGGGCTCGATCCCAGGACCCTGAGATCATGACCTGAGCCGAAGGCAGACATTCAACCGACTGAGCCACCCAGGCGCCCCAAGATTTTATTTTTAAATAATCTCCATACCCAAGGTGGGGCTTGAAACTACAGCCCCGAGATCAAGAGTTACATGCTCTTCTGACTGAGTCAGTCAGGTGCCTTGCACTGACATTTTTGAAGAGTAGAGGACAGTATTGCAGAATGTCCTTTAATTCGGGTTTGTCTGATGTTTCTTCATAGTTAGAGTATGGGTTTTTAGCATGAATATTAAATTATCTTGTATTTTTCTCAGGATATCACATCAGGAGGCATGTAATGACCGTTGGTCCCATTATTGATGATGTTAATTTTTATTTTTTTTATTATTAAGATTTTATTTATTTATTTGAGAGAGGAAGCATGAGAGAGAGCACACAAGCAGGGAGAGGGGCAGAGGAAGAGGGAGAAGCAGACTCCCCACTGAGCAGGGAGCCCAACTTGGGGCTCAATCCCAGGACCCCGGGATCATGACCTGAGCTGTGGGCAGACACTTAAACGACTGAGCCACCCAGGCGCCCCTGATGATGTTAATTTTTGAAGATTTTATTTTTTTTATTTTAGAGAGAGGGAGAGTGAGAATGAGCTTGCGCCTGAGGGGAGGGGCAGAGGGAGAAGGAGAGAGAGAATCTCAAGCAGACTCTGCACTGAGCGTGGAGCCCAACCTGGGGCTCGATCCCACAACCCTGAGATCATGACCTGAGCTGGAATCGAGTCGGATGCTCAACCAACGAGTCACTCCCTCGTCCCTGATGATGTTAATTTTGGTCTCTTCTTGGTCAGGGTAGTATCTTTCAGGTTTCTCCACTGTAAAGTTATTCTGTTCCTCTTTGTAATTAACACGTAATCTGTATGGGAGATCTTTGAGACTGTGTCCTAAGTGTCCAGTTCCCCAACAGACTTTTACCTGAAAGTATTAGCATCCATTGATGGCTCTTGTCAGGATCAGTTATTACTATGAGAGTTGCATAATGGTTACTTTTCTAACTCTTTTGATTTCTTTTACATGTGTTCTATTAATTGGCATTCTACTGTAGGAGACTTCTCTTTTCCCTGTGTTTACTGCTTTACTTAGTACTGACATTGACTCATGGATTCTTATTTTATACAGTAAGTTATAACTCATTTTATAATCCATTATTCAGTTTGATGTTCAAATTATTCCTGGATTTGACCAGAGTAAGCTGGCTTTGTTGACCTTTTGCAGTGTATTGATTATTTTTGAGTATTTCCTTACTTTTTGGCATAACAAGATATTCTGGGCCTATGTCATACTTTCCTTGCCCCACCATGGAATCAGCCACTTCTCCAAGGAGTCCTGATCATTTTTAATGGGGGAATAGTTTTTAGAAACCAAGATGTGGACATTAGGTATGCTTTTTTCTACTAAGATGTCATTGGTGCTCTGCTCTTTCAGCAGACAGATGCAGCAAGTGTGTGTGTGTGTTTCAGTTCTAATCCTGCATCCCAGGGTTCTTCCTTTCCTTCCCCAGTTCTATATTTGTATCTTCCTTCTCCCATGGTTAGTACACTGGCTCTTAGCAACTTCAGTGTTTACTTATTTTCTCATTGTTCTAATACACACTAAATTGTTTTAATGACTATACCTGGCAACTGCAAATAACAAACCTATTAAGGAGTTCAAGATTTCTTTGACGTTCTTTTGTCTTTATATTGAAGTTATATGGCCAAAGGACTATTGAAAGTTACTGGATTAGTTTTTTCCCACCTTCTGTGAAGTTACATCATTCATTTGAAATACAGTTAGTGTCTTATGTTTCTGTGTAATTTTGTTTTACCCCCAAATTCTTGTTCATCTAATTTTGTTTTTGAATATGTAAAACATTAATAAGATTCTGAAAGTTAAAGCTGTAATACACACACACACACACACACACACACACACAGAAATCTCACTCCTTCTCTCCCTTCTACCTTATTCTTGTCTATTCCTGTAGATAACCAGTTTCATTGGTTTTGGGTATCCTTTAAGTCTTTTTTGTAAAAATAGCATACTTATATAAATGCTTCTTTCTTACACAAATGATAGTATAATATACATGTATTTTTTTTTTTTTTAAAGATTTATTATTTGAGAAAGAGTGTGCGTGTACGGGGGAAGGGGCAAAGGGAGAAGGAGAGAGAGAATCCCCAGCAGACTCCCCGCTGAGTGTGGAGCCCAGTGCAGTCGCCCCTATATATGTACTCTTTTAATTTGTTTTTTTTTTTTCCACTTAATAATATAACCTGGAAATACTCTGTAGCAGCTCATACAGATCTTTCTTTTGTGTTCTTTCTTTTTCCCAGCAGCATAGTTTTCCATTATGTGGCTATGCTATGGTTTATTCAACCAGTTTTTTAGCCTTAACATTTTATGATTGTTTGAAAATACCGCTCCTGATTTCTTGGAAACTACAGTTTAAGAAGTTAGGCCATACGGGAGTGGAGGGGGATGAGAGGGATGGGGTGGCTGGGTGATGGACATTGGTGTGTATTTTGTAAGACTGCTGAATCACAGACCTGTACCCCTGAAACCAATAATACATTATATGTTAATAATTAAAAAAAAAAAAGGCCAGAGGATGGGATTGAGATGGAATTGGGTGTGGTGCAGTGATAGAATAAAATACTTATAAAAATGGAACTGTTATCAATTTATAATATCTTTGGCTTAATGAAAATACTCATTTAGGGGAGCCTTGGTGGCTCAGTGGGTTAAGTGTCTGACTCTTGGTTTCAGCTCAGGTCATGGTGTCAGGGTCCTGGGATCGAGCCCCGCATTGGGTTCTGCGTTCAGCGGGGAGTCTGCTTGAAAGTCTCTTCCTCTCCCTTTGCCCCTCCCTTGTGCAGGCGCGCTCGCTCTTGCGCTCTCTCTCTCAAATAAATAAATAAATCTTTTTAAAAACCCAAAAACGGGCGCCTGGGTGGCTCAGTTGGTTAGGCGACTGCCTTCGGCTCAGGTCATGATCCTGGAGTCCCTGGATCGAGTCCCACATCAGGCTCCCTGCTCGGTGGGGAGTCTGCTTCTCCCTCTGACCCTCCCCCCTCTCATGTGCTTGCTCTCTCTCATTCTCTCTCTCTCAAATAAATAAATAAATAAATCTTTTAAAAAAAAATAAATAAAAATAAAAAACCCAAAAACATTCATTTATACTTGGTTGTCTTAAATCATTTTTTGAGAAACAACTGTTTTTGCCTAGTCTCTTGGTAATTTAAGTAGGACAGAACTGATTTGTTCGTTTTTTTGTGCACTTAGGGCTTCTTGAATTCCTCTGAGCTCTCTGAACTTCCGGTTGGGCCCGAGAGAGAGGGCTGTCTCAAGGATCAGCTAGCCTTAGCAATTGGTGAGTATTTGTAAGGATTGTGGGAACTGGAAATTATGAACTGGACCTCCTGGTATCTTTGATATTCTTCCACACCTAGATCAGGAATTGCAAGCTCATGTGCCCACAAGGGTCAGATAATATGAATGTGAGAAGTGGGTTATGTTGTGTGTTAGACGTTAGTGAGCAGTAGGCTCCCTGAGAAGCCCACACTCTGCTGAAGAAAACTGTTACCAAGCTCTAGCTAGTTGTTACCTTGGGGTCCCAGCGTTGTCAGAATTTTTAAATTCCTTCAAAAGAATTTAGCTTTGTGTGTAAAAATTTCAGTTTTTAGATGTTTGCAGCTAATTAAAATCATTTTCTGCACTCTGCAGGCTGACCAAACAAAGCATGTCTTTAGGCAGGGATGGCCTTTGACTTCTTCCAGTTGACTACCTCTCTATACACTGTGGGAGACATACTACATCCAGAGTCATCTCATCGTCTTTATAAAGGGATCCAGGAATAATTGGGGGCATCATGTGTTGGAATTTGATCTCTTTTTTAGAAAAATCTGATCCTGAATTTGTGAAGGTTTATTCTTGCAGAACCACTGGCCGCAGGAACCACATCTGGATCATTGTGCCAGAACTAGTGGGGGTTTTGCTTTCTTCCTACATGTCCTTGATGGAAGGAGGGGAGTAGGGCTGGGTTGGAGCTTGCTGGGAATTTACTGCTCATCTGACGTTTCCAGTCAAGGCATCAATTCTGCTTTTAACAGGTTATCTTGAAATATGTATGATGTTTTAGTGAGTCATGGCTGAGAAACCAGGCAGACAGCTGTAAATGGGACATATTAAGAAATTCTGGAAGAACTGGGTGTTTCAGCCTTGTCAATTTCTGAGAATCAACTATTGTTCAGATGCTTTGAGTTGTTTTAAGATTTCTTTTGATTTCTCCCCCATTAAGACTTTTAGATATAACTATGGCTAATGCAGGGATATTTACCTAGATCCCTTTTGGGGTCTCCTAACCCCTTTCCAACCTTTTGGCTTATTTGGACTTATGTTAGAGAGGATAGCATCCTGAGGAGACGGGGAAACCTGGAATTATTTTTGATTATTAAAAACAACTCTGGGGGCAACTGGGTGGCTCAGTGGGTTAAGTGTCTGCCTTCGGCTCAGGTCATGATCCTGGGGTGCTGGGATCGAGCCCTGGGTCAGGCTCCCTGCTCAGTGGGGAGCCTGCTTTTCCCTCTACCCCTCCCCCTCCTCTTGCTCCCACTCCCTCTCACTCTTCAATAAGTAAATCTTCAAAAAAAAAAAAAAACTGAAAATTTTTATTTTTGGTGAGAGGAAGTTGAAACTATCCGATGGTATGGGGTTTTGGGTTTTCTGGGGCTTTTAGTTGTGGACTTTTCCCTGCTACAATGGATGAGGAAGAGTTGTCTGTGTCATTTATGGTGATTTTCGGGAGGGATGGTAATTTCAGGGGAAGAAAACACTTAATTGCTTTGGAGTGAGATGTGGGTTTTACTTCCAGCTCTGGCATGTATTAGCTGTGTGAGCTTGGGGGAGGGTAGCTTGAGCTTTCTAAGCCTAAGTTTAACACAGTAACGATAGCCAGCATTTGAGTGCTGCTTTGTGCTAGATAATGTAATTAAGTGCGTTTACATATGTTACTTTATTTACATCTCCTTAGAACCCTGCTTTCAGATTATTGTAAGTGGCATCATCTCCATGTTGAGGAGGAAACTAAGGCTTGATAAATTCGTAAATGGGCTTATGTCACTTGCCTAAGGTCATATAGCCGGTAAAGGGCAGGACTGAGACCTGACTCCAGGGTCTTTGTGACACACCATGGCCTGTGTTTTTAAATACCAGTGTGGCACATTTTTGGTGTTCCATAAAGGTATTCTTTATTTCTCCCACCCCTACCCTCTCCTCCCACCTACGTTTTCCTCTTTAAACGGCAAATGGTATCTCTCCATCTTACAGCATATTCACAGTGTAAATGCAGAGGACTGTCTTCGACTCAGCCACTTCTATGCGTATCTTGGTACTGCCACAGGCATCATATTCTGGAAGCATGTTACTTGTTTTTGCTTTTTTATAGGGAAACTGGGAGAAAACATGACTCTTAAACGAGCTGCATGGGTAAAGGTGCCGGCTGGGTTCTACGTTGGCTCTTACGTCCATGGAGCGATGCACAGCCCATCGCTCCACAACCTGGTGCTGGGGAAGTACGGGGCCCTGGTCATCTGCGAGACATCTGAGCGCAAAGCAGGCCTGGAGGACCTGGGTCGCCGCCTTGGGCAGCATGTGGTGGGCATGGCCCCTCTCTCTGTTGGCTCTTTGGATGATGAGCCTGGTGGGGAGGCGGAAACCAAGATGCTGTCCCAGCCATACTTGCTGGATCCCTCCATCACGTTGGGACAGTATGTGCAGCCTCAAGGAGTGTCTGTCGTAGACTTTGTGCGGTTTGAATGTGGGGAAGGCGAAGAGGCAGCAGAAGCTGAATAGGTGACAGAGACTTGGCCCCGGAGGAAATGTTTCTTCTCAGCTCTGGACATCATTACGAAAAGAAGTTATTTCCTGAGCCTCTTCAAACCCAGAAGTTTTTCGTTGGCATTTATAAAGAAATGATAGACTTGGTGGGTAAAGTTATGAAATACAATTGCTATATAATAAAGAAGAGTAGAATCTTTTCCTTGTTTGCGTAATGCTGGGTTTAGCTTTTTTGTGCCTGACTTGTGCCAAGTTGTCGAAAACAGCAGGCGGGCCTTCTTGAAGGGGCCGAGGATTCGGGAGGACAGGCGTAAGCAGTTGGGCTGCTACTTCCTTCAACCGAGATCTATCCTGGTAACCCTAAAATGCCGAACTCCGTTGATCTTAGTGCTTCTGTGACCCTGTACCCTTGTTCTGCTCTCACTTTGTGATGCCTTGGATGGTGCTCCTATCCTGGACCGTCCCCCCTTACATTACTTCTGCCACATGGATTCCTTGGGAGTTGTTGACTCCAGCTTCGAGCTGTCTGGAAAATGTGGTTCATTTGTTGCTGTCTGTGGCCTGCACACTGGTTCTGGCCTCGTTACTGAAATTAATAACACATGGCCCTGTTTCTCTTTTGGATAATGGGGTAGAGATGGGTGGAGACTGAGGTTTCTTGGATAGCTGTAAGGCAGATTTTGGCATTCTTGTGCCAGCAACAGGACTTAGAGTGGTCCAGTTATCCAGAGAAATCACTCACCCATACTTGCTGGATCCTTCCATCATGTTGGGACAGTATGTGCAGCCTCAAGTGGTGTCTGTCATAGACTTTACTACCCCAGTAAGGAGACTTTTCTCCCGGCATCACAAAATAATTACCGTAACAGGCAAGCCCCAAATGGTGAAAAGAACTCTCATTTGCTCACACAGATATCTTTATTTGAAAAGTTAAAAATCTCTGGCACATACAGATCTGGGCATTTGGATTTTGCCCTTGGGGTATATATGGAAATAACTTCAGTGATTTCGTGGGTTAAGTAGATTTTGCAAATACCGAGCTTACAATTTAAAACAACCTTACATCCTTGCCCCATTATTAAACACTTTAAACTTCGTTGGTTTTTTTTCCTCTCACTTCTCTGGATTCATGCAGTTACGGTGCTTTCTGCTGAGACTTTAGCCGGAAGGCCACACAAATCGAAAAGTAGGTAATTAACATTTTAGGTATATAACAACTGTGGAATGCAGGGGTGAGAAAGATGGAGAACATGCTGTGATTTGCAGACCATACTGTATCTAAATTAAGTAGCTAGCTATTGGGCAAAAATTGGTAGATAAATTTTTTCCTGTTCTTGGCACTATCTGCTCACTTCTGTGGTCTTGCAATAGGCATATAGCTTCTTGCCTTAGAAAAGCCCCTTTTCTTTCTTCATTTGGAGCTGCTTCCAGCAAGGCAGAGCAGCAAATTGCCCTCTTGTGATGCCAAACACAGAAATAAAATCCTGTTCAGAGAGGTAATTCTAAGAGAGAAAACAAAGTCTGTAGTTAGGAGGAGGACATGACACCCATCAATGCCAACAGAGGAGGGGAGGGTAAAGCCAAGAGAGTGTCTTTGAAGGGGGAAGGAGAAGGAATTTTTCAGAAAGTCTGTAATGGACTTAAATTATTCACTGGAGGGTTCTTGGGTTGTAGAATCCCATTTTGGCCTGAGCAGAAGCTGACCGGATTTGCTGCTCTCATGGTCCCACCTGGCACCAGTTTTTGGCCGGAAGAACAAGAATTGGGTTATATATGATGAATTCTAGACATGAGTTTTGGCTGAATGGAGAACTAAATCGAATGCTGGTGTTCCTCACTTCAGGCCCTCATCTGCCATTTTTTTATCCAGACATTTCGAATGCAAGATCGCGTGGATCTTGTTCAGAGCATAAATTGATGCTTACTGAATATTTGCTCTCTGAAAGATACGGCTTCTGTTTTCAAGCAAGTTGTGGTCCAGATCCTTAAGAGTTGGTTAGCTAAGACATTGTGGAAAACCCAGAGACCCATCCCAAATCAACTCCTTCAAGGGGAAAATAAGTGAATTCAACCAAAACTTCAAGAGGGCATACCATCTGCCAGGCCCTGTTGTAGGTGCCGAAAAGTGGAGAACGTGGCGGTGAACAAGACAGAGAAGGTCCTTGCTCTTAAGCAGTGTTAGGGCAGTCAGGGAGGGCCAGCCAGCACCTGAACCATGAGGAGGAGCTAGCTCTGTGATGGTCTGAGAGAAGAAAGGTTTCTCAGGCGGCATAAAGGCTCAAAGGCCGGGCCGAGCGCGTTTGAGACAGGGAGCCCCTGGCTAGAGGGTGGTAAGTGAAGAGGGCGGTAGTATATGAGATCGGACATCAGAGAGGCAGGTGTAGGCCAGGTTGTGTAGAGCTGCGGAGGCCACAGAAAGGATTCTGGATTCTTTTTCATTTTCAGCGGGAAGCCAGCTGGGGGACTCTTGGCAGTAGTCCGTGATGGCTGGACAGCAGAGAGACGGGGAGGAGTGGACAGAGGCCAGCTGATGGACTGATGTTGGGGGGTGGGAAAAAAGGAGCCCTGGGTTTTTGTCTTGAGCTACCAGGTAGCTCAGATGTCTGTTGAGGGGCCTACAATGTGCCAGAGCTGTCCTAGGCCATGTACTGAGACAGGTGCTTCCCTCATGGAGAGCTCCACTCACAGTAGACATAGTTCCTTTAGCCACTCACCTCCTTTTTGGCAGGGTTCACATCCTCAGGCAGCTCCTGATTTTGATTTTTCAACAGGACTTCTATGGGGTAATATTTTGGCTCAGAATTCAGGGAGAGGGTTGCATTCCTCATGTCCTAGGTAAGATAAGAATGTGGACAGGATAAAAGACTGTTCAGGGTCTGTGCAGTTGAAGTTCTGTGTGTATAGTATTTAATATTTTGGCTGGTACTACTGCACCCTTTGTGATCACCTTTTCGAACGATGATCCCTAAAGCTGGCTGCCTGTCAGAATCATCTGGGAATCTAAAATATTCAGATTTTGGGGTGCTTCTTGGGAAAGCTGCTTCAGTGAGTCTAGGGTAAATCCTGTATAGGCAGTTTGGCTTAACGCTGTGCTTAAATCTCATTTCAATACTGTGATCACAGACCTTCTTTTGGCGCTTGTATTTAGGCTCTACATTTCCAGCCTTTAAATGACTTCAAATTGAAGTCATACTGTTGTTAAATACATTTTAAAGATACTATGTAGCCATTAGCTTTGGAATCTTGAGTTTGTAGTGCACAAAGGATGGAGCTGCAGATGGCATGGACACCTGCTATCATGTGCTCATCCTGATGCTAAAGAGCTGTTGCATTCCTGGCCAGAGGCTCCACTTCTTTTTGCCATTAGAGTAGGGGTAATGAGTTTTTTGTGGTCTGCACGGTCAGAAACTGGTAAGCATCTCATTTCGGTTAGAAGCTTATTATTTATGAAAAATACTGCCAGTCAATTTAGTCTGTCCTGAATGATAGAATTGAATAATAAACCTAGGTTTTGTTTGTTTTTTAGCTTAAACAACAAACATTCATTTCTCAAGAGTTCTGGAGGCTAGGAACCTAGTCCAAGATCAAGGTGTCTGGAAATCCTGGGTCTGGGGAGAGCTCGCTTCCCAGCTTGTGGATGGCATCTTCCCAGTGTATCCTCATCTGGTAGAGAGCCAGCCCTCCTAGCTCTTCCTTCAAGGGCACTAATTACCCCCTAAAGGCCCCACCTCCTCATACCACCACATTAGGGGCTAGGGGTTCAACATACGAATTTTGGAAGACAAACACATTCAGTCCATAATTGTAGGTGATTCCTAGGTCATAATTCCTTATATTTATATTTAAAAATATGGTTTTTTTTAAAGCAGCAAGTCTATTCTAAATTCAGGAAGACAGTAAAACGAGGAACTTGGCTTTGAGACCTGCTTTGCTATTGATTAGAACAATCTGAAATCAAAAGAGCCCACTAGAGTGATACTAAGAAGGACACGATAGGGTTTCGCCCATGTGGTGTCTGTAGCGTTTACGGTTTCTCTCTGGCTCCGAATGCCCGTGTGACTTGCTTCTGCAGGAGCAAACCCAACTCACAGCAGTGATTCTCGTGATAGCAGTGGCATCTCCCAGCTCTTCTTTTAACTGCTCATAGGATTTCCCTGCCTGGAACAAAGAGACGGAAGACAGGACAAGGTGCTGCTTACAGGGGGGAGGGACATCTTAGGCCTCGTCTACCCTCGAGGAAAGCAACAAAGCCGGGGAATCAGAAGACATTGCAGGGCTACGCAGGAATGAAAATCCCCCCTTCTGGGTCCACGCCAGGTTGGAAGGTCGTTCAACATGATCTGCATTCTTTGCTGGTGTTCCTTAACCCTCCACACAAGACCGAAGAAGACAGAGCCATTGACTAGGAGTCAGAAAACCTGGCTTCTTTGGTTAACTGTGACTTTTGACAAATCCCCTCCTCTAAGCTTCCTCCTCTTTAACATGGAAACGTTTGCCCCAGCTGTCAGGGTGGTTGTAAAGCTCAAAAAAGGAGATGTGTGTGGATAAACTTTATCAACCATCACTTACTTCCACACACGGCTTCTTCCTGAGACAAGCTGTGAATTCTCTAACCAGACTGAGTGCCGTGGTGGGCAGAAAAGAGAAGGAAAGGAAAAAGCAGGGGAGTGGAGAGGGGGTGGGGGAAATGTGGTCCTGGATTTACTCAGCCCTTAAGTCAGTACCCTGCCTTCCCACTAAGCTATTTGCGCTGAGCTCCCGGGCAGTAGGGAGGTCTCCCCCATTCTCCCTGTTCTTACGCTCCAAACATGAGGGTCCCACGCCAAGAACCAGCCCGTGAAGATGGGAGGCTCAAAGCCCTGTTTGATGATCAGGATCGGTGTGTCTGCATCCCGGCCGCTGGGGTGAGTGTGCAGGTACTCCTGGGCCGTCGCAAGGGCGCTCTCCTTCTCTGTGGCATTGGCCTCAGCCCCAATCCACAAGAACACCTGTGTGGTAGAGGTGGCATCTTAACGCGCTTCTATCAAGGACTAAGGACTAGACCAGACCCACTGCCTTTCCTTTCCCCCTCAGCGAACCACAGCCTCCGAGAACTTTCCCGGCCTCATTTGCTCAGCAGAGAGAAAGGCTTTCCCAGAATCAGCTTGGTGTTTTGATTTTAATTACACATGTATCTCCTAAATCTACATGTCCAGTCCCAAGCTGTCGCTGAGCT